GGGGGGGGAGCGGTGCAGCTGGCTGGTGGTACCAGTGTATATTGAAAGCGCTTAAAAACTGTTCGAAAATTCTAGAACACCTGCGCCATCTACCATCGTGCTCAAAGCACTGCTCTTTATAGGTCGTAAAGGACAAAATGAGAATTTAAGGTACTGTGGGGGACAGAACATGTTGTGGGACCAAGTAGCTGGATTCTTCAGAATCTTGCTTGAGGATTACTGTACCCCAGTATCTAGTTTTGGAGTTGACTGCTCTCTGATCCCAATTGACCTTTCTTCCCTTGCTTCCTCCAAAAAATCTTATCTTCTTCAAAAAAATTTTTATCATGAGCAATTTTTCACCTCGCTTTCTGTTTGCTGCCAGAAATCGAAGTGTCTAGACTGATTTATATCTTTTAGATCTAACTGATAACAAAATTGGGTGATTTGAAAAATTGATTATGCTGAAAATGACTAGAAGTTGTTGGAGTTGTCTGAAACTTGCTGGGTATATAAAACAAGCTCAGGGTTTGTTTTGTTAAAATTTGGCTTGAAAACATAGGGTATCGGCTAAAAATTACGGTAACACCTCTAATAGAATGACAGTCCCTGACTTTCAACTTTGACCAAGTTTATCTCGGTTCCTATAAGAGATGCCACTTGAAACCAACCAAGTGACAAAACTTCCAGAAATAACGCAAAATTCAGAGTAACACACTTTGAGCTAAATTATCTCGGTTCCTGTGAAAAATATCAAAAAGTAGTCAACTGATAAATTGTTTATCACAATATCACCAATATTTTATCAGTTGACAAACTTTTTATATCTTTCGAAAGAAGCGAGATAATTAAGCTCACAGTGTGCGGCTTCTATCAGAGCATTTACGGCGATCTTTCGCAAATACTGTAAAGGCTACAATTAGAGAATGATGCCATAAAAAACCGTCAACTAAAAAACTCAAATGATCATTGTTCTGAAAATTGAAATTGGTTTTTTTTTTGAAAAATGGAGAAATATGTAGAGCGCTACAGTACACCAATCTGGATGGAACAGCCAGATGGTCTTGGTCCTTCCGGCTCGGTTATTGATCTTCTACTCTTCTCATCTTCTTCTAAACAAAAAACATTTGGCATCTATATTCTTCTCAGTCTCCAAAACTAAAAATCCAATCAAAACATAACTAATAAGAGATTCCAAGAAAATAAACAAAACAATTTATTCTCATCTTAATAGATGATTCTGATGGTGCGGAATCAGTAGCGAGGCTTTTTGGTTAGGTTAATTATGAGATATGTAAGATTCAGTGGCTCAGCGGCCCTAGAAGTTTGTGGTTAGCCGGCCGGCCGCGGCTCTGTTCCTGACAGACTTGGTCCATCAGAAAAAAAACAAATTGCCAGCTATCTGTCTTTTCGAGAAACTGACCCCCCCCCCTGGATTTTTGAAATTCGAGGTGGGGCTCCTCCTGGTCAAGATGATATGTGTCAATCAGGTTTTCTCATTTTTCATTTTCTCTCTTCCGGCCCTGATAAATAGGTTCTCTTTTTGCACAAAGAGCCCCCTTCCCCCCTCTCGCCACACGTCTGGCATCATTAGTCCTGATCCTACCGATTCCTGTACAAAACGCATAAATCTTTAGATGCTCTTCCCGAGGAGAATCTATCTCTGCGATTCTTCCCCCTCTCTCTCTCTCTCCCTCATCGTCGGATGAGTCACGACGTAGAGCAAAAAAGTGGGCGTGGCGTCGCGATCGTCGCCGTTAGGACGCTCCGCCCATTTTCGCCACGGCCCATAACCCACCGCAGAAAGGATCAATGTAATGTGTTGCTGGTTGCTCTCCGGTCCCGTTCTTCGACTAATTTGGTCTTTTTATCAAAAATGACCCTAGATTCCCTCTGCGTCTCCTAATCTTTCTCCCGTCGGACCTTTAGAATAGGTGCTCTGTGCTATCAAACTCAAACATTGCGCCCTCGACATTCGACCCCATCACTATCATCTTCTTCTCCTCCTAGGTTTTCTTCTTTTTCTTTTTCTTCTTTTTCTGTGCTGATGTTACAACATACACCCATACACACGATAGTCCAGTGTCCTCCTCTCCAAAGAGCTCCGAAACAGAAAAAAAGGAGGAGCCTTTCGATGAAATTTGTGCCAATTTATCTGCCATTTTTCGATTTCGATCTCTGCCAATTTTAGAAAATTCTGAAAATTTTAGCCAATTTTTATTTTGTATAAAAACCCCTCTCATTTGTTTACCACTTCATCTCTCTTTTTGAAACTAATCGTTTTCCAGAGTCTACTAACCCCTCTTCCCTCTTCTACCGTAATCCCCTAGTCATATACGGGCTCTTCAGACGTTTCACACAATGAGGTTGCTGCTCATCTCGGCAGCCCTTCTGCTGTGCTCCGTCCCAACGTGGGCCTTTTCTCTGTCCTCGTTCTTCGGCAGCAACAACAATGCTCAGGTAAGCGATGCCTTCTGAATTCTCCAATAATTCCCAATTTCCAGAAGCCATACCTTCACCCGAACTCGCCTCCGGAACGCGAGCCAACTCGGATGAAGCGACAGGCGTATCAGGTGTACGTCGACGGAGACTCTTCGGTTACTGTGGACAAATCTGGACAAAAGGAGACCGGCAACTGGGGACCGTGGCAACCGGAGAACGAGTGCTCGCGCAGTTGTGGCGGAGGAGTGCAGCTCGAGAAGAGACAGTGCAGGTTGGTCCAGGGTTTAAGGGGTTCGATGCTTCGTTTTGCTTCTAAATCTAGAGCCCAAAAACTACTATAGTTACTTTTGGAATTCTAGATGTTTTAGTCACCGGACCACCAAAAACCAAGCTCACTCAATTTTAGATCCTAGATCCTTGATCTAGATACTTGATCTAGATCCTTAGATTCCCAGTAATTTTATTTGGCATGGAATTTTTTATATTTTTGGTTTAGAAACTTGAATGAAGCTATATTTTTCTTTTTTTTCTTATAGGGTGAGCTTCAATTACAGGAAACACGGTAACAAACATTTCAAGACTCTGTGACCTGGAGTAGACACACCGTCTAACTTTGAGCTCGAGTATCTCGGTTCCTATCAAAGATATCAAAAATTTGTTAACTAATAAATTATTTATCATATTATCACCAATATTTTACCAGTTGACAAATTGTTGATATATCTTACAGGAATCGAGATAATTAAACTCAAAGTGGAGACTTTGATTAGAGCAAATACGGTAACTTTAAGTAGACACACCGTCTAACATTGAGCTCAATTTTCACGATTCCCATGAGAGATATCGAAAATTTTTCAACTAATAAATTTTTTATCATAATATTACCAATATTTTATCAGTTGACAATTCTTTGATATTTTTAATATGAGCCGAGGTAATTAAGCTCAAAGTTGACTGGGCTTCCATGAGAGGAAATACGGTAATTGAGGTCGAACTGCAAAGGGCGTTCTATTAGAGGGTTTACTGTTACTAGCCAATTCTGATAATTTTCAAAACTTAAAATCTATGATTCCAGCGGTGACTGCACTGGACCATCGGCTCGCTACATCTCCTGCAACTTGGACGCTTGCGAGTCCGGATCCGACTTCCGTGCCGAGCAGTGCGCCAAGTTCAACGACGAGGCTCTCGACGGAAACTACCACAAATGGAGTCCATACAAGGGAAAGAACAAGTAAGACCATTTTTGTCCAGCTGTCATTATCCAGAATTTTAAAGGTGCGAACTTGTGTGCAAGCCAGAATCCGGAAACTTCTACTACAAATGGGCTGATAAGGTTGTCGATGGAACCAAGTGCGATTCCAAGAGCAACGATATCTGTGTTGATGGAGAGTGCCTTCCAGTTGGATGTGATGGAAAGCTTGGATCTTGTAAGTCTGAAGAATTCTGAAAACTAATAGTAAGATTACTAACTAAAGCCATTTCCAGCCCTAAAATACGACAAGTGTGGAAAGTGCGATGGTGACGGCTCGACTTGCAAAACTATCGAAGGACGTTTCGACGAGCGCAACCTCTCTCCAGGATACCATGACATCATTAAGCTTCCAGAAGGAGCCACCAACATCAAGATCTCCGAAGCCAGAAAGAGCACCAACAACTTGGCTCTTAAAAACGGATCCGATCATTTCTATCTCAATGGAAACGGATTGATTCAAGTTGAGAAGGAGGTCGAGGTCGGAGGCACCATCTTCGTCTACGATGACGCCGAGCCAGAAACTCTCAGCGCTCAAGGACCACTCTCTGAGGAGCTCACCGTTGCTCTTCTGTTCAGAAAGGGAAGCCGTGACACCGCGATCAAGTACGAATTCTCGATCCCACTTGAAGAGGAAGTCGACTACATGTACAAGTTCGATTCCTGGACTCCATGCTCTGTTACCTGCGGAAAGGGAGTGCAGACTCGCAATCTTTATTGTATCGACGGAAAGAGCAAGGGACGTGTTGAAGATGGTCTCTGCGAGGAGAACAATGCCACGAAGCCAGAATTCGAGAAGAGCTGCGAGACTGTTGATTGTGCTGCCGAGTGGTTCACTGGAGACTGGGAGTCTTGCTCATCCACATGTGGAGATCAAGGACAGCAATACCGTGTCGTCTACTGCCATCAAGTCTACGCTAATGGACGTCGTGTCACCGTTGATGATGGAAACTGCACCGTTGAGAGACCAGCCGTGAAACAGACTTGCAATCGGTGAGTTGCAGCCAAATTATAAACAATTTTTTGTTTATATGGTGCTTTATATTCCATCCTCTCCCTAGTAATGTATTAAAGTATAAATAAACAATTCCTCTGCAGATTCGCCTGCCCAGAGTGGCAAGCTGGACCATGGTCTGCTTGCTCGGAGAAGTGTGGAGACGCCTTCCAATACCGATCAGTGACTTGCCGTAGCGAGAAGGAAGGAGAGGAAGGAAAGTTGTTGGCTGCCGATGCTTGTCCATCTGATGAGAAGGAGAAGTTCGACACGGAGCGTACTTGCAACTTGGGACCATGTGAGGGACTTACTTTTGTCACTGGAGACTGGAACTTGGTAGGGAATAAGAGGATAACAAACTGATAAGATAAGGAACTAACTGGAAAAAAAATTTCAGTGCACCCGATGTAACGATACCGAGGAGACTCGTGATGTGACTTGCAAGGATTCCCAAGGAAGAGCCTACCCACTCGAGAAATGCTTGGTTGATAACTCCACCGAGCTTCCAACTGACACCAGATCTTGCGCCACTCAACCACCATGTGTCTACGAATGGACTGTTAGTGAATGGAGCAAATGCACCACCACATGTGGACACGGACACAAGACTCGTCGTGTCATCTGCGCCATCCATCAGAATGGAGGACTCGAAGTCGTTGATGAGGGACACTGCCAGGCTGAGAAGCCAGAAGCCAAGACCAACTGCACCAACGAGGAGAAGTGCACCGGAACCTGGTACTCGTCTTCCTGGTCCGAGTGTACTGCCGAATGTGGAGGAGGATCCCAAGAACGTGTTGCTGTTTGCTTGAACTACGACAAGAAGCCAGTGCCAGAATGGTGCGATGAAGCTGTCAAGCCATCTGAGAAACAAGACTGCAACGTCGATGCCTGCCCAACCTGCGAGGATTCTGAATTCGGATGCTGCCCAGACAACACCACCTTCGCCACTGGAGAATTCAACTTCGGATGCTCGAACTGCTCAGAAACCGAATTTGGATGCTGCGCTGACAACGTCACCGTTGCCACTGGACCAAACTCCAAGGGATGCGAAGAATTCGTTGAGTCTCCACTCAACCTTGAAGCCGATGTTGCCGCTGCTGATGCCGTCGAAGCCTCCGGAGATGCTCCAGATGCTCTCTGCAGTGTCACTAACGAGAACGGAGAAGCCGCTGATGTCGAATGCGCCACTATTGCTCCAATCACAGCGCTTCTCGAAGACGTCTTTGGAAATGAGACCGATGCTGCTTCCAACGAGACCCTCCACTGCTCAAAGTCCGAATTCGGATGCTGCCCAGATTGGTTCACCGCTGCCACCGGAAAGAACAATGAAGGATGCCCATCTTTCATTCTTGGAGGATGTAACGAGACTCAATTCGGATGCTGTCACGACGAAGTCACCCTCGCCCGTGGACCAAATCTCGAAGGATGCGGAGAACCATCGTGCGCTGCTTCCCTCTACGGATGCTGCAAGGATCGCAAGACCATTGCCTTCGGACCACACTACTCTGGATGCGAGAGATCTTCCTTCCCATGTGAGCTCAGCGACTTCGGATGCTGTCCAGATGGTGAGACCGCTGCTCTTGGAAAGAATGGAACTGGCTGCGGAGAGAACTGCCTTACCACCAAGTTCGGATGCTGCCCAGATGGGAAGACAACTGCTAAGGGATCGCACAACGAGGGATGCGGATGCGAGTTCGCTCAATATGGATGCTGCCCAGACGGAAAGTCTGTCGCCAAGGGAGCCGGATTCTACGGATGCCCAGAAAGCTGCGCTCAAAGCCAATTCGGATGCTGCCCAGATGGAAAGACTCGTGCTCGTGGAGAGAACAAGGAAGGCTGCCCATGCCAATACACTCGCTACGGATGCTGCCCAGATGGTGAAACCACCGCTTTGGGACCAAGAAACGACGGTTGCGACAACTGCCGTTACGCCAAGCACGGATGCTGTGAAGACGGAGAGACCAAGGCTTTGGGACCAGACAGAGCCGGATGCCCAGCCACCACCACCCCACCATTCCTCATGGGAGGAACTGTCGCTCCACACAAGATCGTCGCTTGCAACCAGTCTCAAGAAAGTGGAACCGTTTGCGGATCTGGATACAAACTTGTAAGTTAAAAACGCATTTTGAAAAATAGTCCCTGACTTCTTTCTAGGCCTGGCACTACGACACCACCGAAGGGCGATGCAACCAATTCTGGTACGGAGGATGCGGTGGAAACGACAACAACTTCGCCACTCAAGAGATGTGCGAGACCATCTGCGTCGAGCCACCAAGCAAGGGAAGATGCTACTTGCCACGTGTTGATGGACCACTTCGTTGCGACCAACTCCAGCCAAGATACTACTACGATCATACCAAGAAGCATTGTGTCGCTTTCTGGTGGAGAGGATGCTTGGGAAATGCCAACAACTTCAACTCGTTCGAAGAGTGCTCCATGTTCTGTAAGGATGTTGGACCATACGACGAACCAACCACTGCCGCCCCACCAGCTCCACAGAACATCCAGCAGCAATACGTCCCAACTCCACAGCCACAAGAAATCGATATCGTTTCTGATGATCAATCCCAACAGCAACCACAACCACAACAACCACAACAGCCAGCAGCTCCACAGCAGCCACGTCAATCTATGGAAGACATCTGCAGATCTCGTCAAGATGCCGGACCATGCGAGACCTATTCCGACCAATGGTTCTACAACGCCTTCTCCCAACAGTGCGAGACCTTCACCTATGGAGGATGCGGAGGAAATTTGAATCGTTTCCGCACCAAAGATGAATGCGAACGCAGATGCTTCTTTGTACATGGAGGTCAACCATCTTCGGAGCAAGCTCAACCAGCTCAAGCCGCTGCTCCAGCCGCTCCAGCCGCCGCCGCCACCAACATTGTCTCGCCACCACAACAGCCACAATCCAGCCCAGTTGTCATTCCATGTAAGTTTCTACCGCATCCCTAAAATTCTTTATTTCTAAGTTCCTATAATAAGTTATGCACGTTTATCTGAGCATCCAACCATTCCAGCGAACAACAAGCAACGCGAAGCATGCCACTTGAACGTCGACCAGGGACGTTGTAAGGGAGCATTCGACTCATGGTACTACGAAGTCGCCACCGGATCGTGCGTCTCGTTCAAGTACACCGGATGCGGAGGAAACGCCAACCGATTCCCAAGCAAGGATCAGTGCGAGCAGCTTTGTTTGAAGCCAGTCGAGACTGAGTCTGGAAGTATGGATATGTTTTATTTTAGCATTCAAAAATATCATTTTGTTGGAGACAATGGTTCAAATTAGGGATGTTGTGAGGGAGAGGAGCCTGTGTAGTTTCAGTTACGCTTGGATGATATGTATAAGACTGTCAGAATCGCATAGCTACAGTACCGGTCAATGAGATACTGTCAACTTTAAGCTCAATTATCTCAGTTCCTGTGAAAGATATCAAAATAAGGTCAATTAATAAAATGTTTTTGATATCATGATAAACATTTTGTTAGTTGACCACTTTTTATTATATGTTACAGGAACCGAGATATTCGGGCTCAAAGTTGGCGGCTTGGATGGCCTTCTATTGGAGCGTTTACGGTATACAAAAACTCATTTTTCAGTTGATCTTCAGACATTTTCCAAAGCCTAGATCTCGGCTGTCAAGTTTCCAATCACATTGAAAATCATGGAAGGTCTAAAACAGACCTAGATTGAAAACTTTGCGCTCACAGAATTTTTTGAAAACTCCTAGGTTTCAGCTATTTTCTGATTTTTGAAGGACACCCCTTCCCGGCCCGTTTTTGTACTGAAATCATGGTGTCTTTCAGAAACCGACAAATAGCTGAAAAACTAGGGATTTTCAAGAAATCCATGACTGCGAAATTTTCATTCTAGGTCTGTTTTACAACCACGAGAATTTTCAAAATGATCGGACACTTGACAGTCGAGCTCTGGACTTCTGAGCATCACCTAAAATCCAACCGAAAAATACGTTTTTGTAAATCCAGATACTGTATGTGAGATTGTGAGAAGAGACAAGCCTGTATTGTTTTAGTTATCCTTGAATGAGATTCAGGAGATTGCCAGCTGGTAGATCTTAGAGCTATCTGAAGTCCGAGAAGCATCATTCCCTCCATTTCAGACGGCCCAGCCGGATCCAACTCAGTCTGTGACGAAGCCAAGGACACCGGACCGTGCACCAACTTTGCCACCAAATGGTACTACAACCAAGCCGACGGAACATGCAACCGATTCCACTACGGAGGATGTCAAGGAACCAACAACCGTTTCGACAACGAACAACAATGCAAGGCCGCGTGCCAGAACCACAAGGACGCGTGCTCCCTGCCAAAGGTGCAAGGACCATGCTCCGGAAAGCACTCGTACTACTACTTCAACTCTGCCAACCAACAATGCGAGACGTTCGTCTACGGAGGATGTCTTGGAAACACCAACAGATTCGCCACCATTGAAGAGTGTAACGCACGGTGCTCACGTAAGTAGATGGTACCTCTCTATCTATCTACCCCTCTATTGCATCTTATACCCAATTTTATTCCACTTCTTTTCCCGTACACTCTCATCCTCACTTTCGCAACCCCATCCCAAAAAAACACGGATGGTCTCTCTTCGTCTCGGGCGTTGTGCCTCTACACCACTGCCTAATAATATTTATGAATTTTCCAATTGTTTTTCCCCCACCACCTTGCTTCCTGCTTTCCTTTTCTTCCCATGTTTTTTCCATGAATAAAGTTAATTAATAAAAATCCTAATTTTTCTGAGATCCAAATGCATGTGAGTGAACTTTTGCATCCCCCTATTTACCCTTGCATGAAAAAATCTGATTGTCTCTAACTGTGTGATGGTGTGTGATTTCCAGAAAGATCAACGACGACTACAACCGAATTGCCAAGCCTGTTACTTCTTCAGGAGGATCCACAACCACATCCGGCGTTCTCATTGAAGTAGGTTTGCATGGGTTTGATGTGGAAGTTTTAGTGTGGGTTGAATAGCCCAAATTTAGCTGCATCTGCATGGATCCTAAGATCCTTGATCCCTTAGCCATAGGAATCTCAGATCCTGAGGATGATACAAATTTTACGGCTTAATTTGGATGAAAAATAGAAATCAGGGTTCTTTGGAACCATAAAGGTTGGTGGTCTAGAAAACTCTGCTTGCAAAAGCTAGGCCATAGTGTCACAATTGCTTAGAAAACACACAAGAAAAACGTCAAGTCATTTCTAGGCTGTACACGTTAGCGGCCTAGAAAACTAAACTTGCGAAAGTTAGGTCAGCATGTTAAAATGGCCTGAAAACTCACCAGGCGAAATTGAGGTCATTTCTTGGTCATTTATCATAGTAGCCTAGAAAACTCAATTTGTAAAAGTTAGGCCATCATGTCGAAATGGCCTAGAAAACACCCTATATTGATATCAGGAAATTTCTAGGTCATTTATCATGGTGGCCTAGAAAACTCAACTTGAAAAAGTTGGACCATAATGTTAAAATGGCTTAGAAAACACACAAAATGCAGATGAGGTCATTTCGAGCCAATTTACCATGGTGGCCCAGAACACTCAACTCGTGAAAGTCAGGCCATCATGTCAAAATGGCCTAGAAAACGCACCTGGTAAATACGAGGCCATTTCTAGCCTATTTGTCATGGTGGCCTAGAAAACTTGATTTTCGAAAGTTAGGTCACTATGTTAAAATGTCCTAGAAAACACACTAGATGAGTATTAAGGCATTTCAAGACCATTTACGATGATGGCCTAGAAAACTCAACTTGCAAAAGTTAGGCCAGCATATAAACTTGACCTGGAAAACACAAAACATGACTATAAAATCATTTCTAGGTAATTTATCATAGTAGCCTAGAAAACTCAACTTTCGAAAGTTTGACCACCTTGATAAATGATGTAGAACCCAAATCAGGTCCATGTCTGAACCATGAAATAGCGGTGGCCTAGAAAAATCATGTTCAGAAAGTAGGACCATGTTCGTTCGAAAATGTTTTCTATCCCGATTTTTCCAACAGACACTCCTTCGCCCATAGCCGTCGTCGTGATGCTCCGTACGCCCGTTCCGTCTCAGCTCGTCACCACTCCGCCGGCTCCTCTCAAATCGAGCACATCGATTGCTACGCCGTCCCTGATGTAGGATCCTGTGCTGATTACCAGCTCGTTTGGCACTACTCAGCCACTTCCAACTCATGCCGCCAATTCTATTACGGTGGATGTGCTGGAAACACCAACAGATTCGCTGACAAGGAGAAATGCGAGACATCGTGTGTTTCCAAGATTGAGGAGAGAGTGGAAAGTGTGTCAGAGGCATCGAAAGCATTGGAAGACGTCAGTTTCACCGATACCCGACACGATGGACACTTCGGATACCATGATGCGAATAGGGATCCAGAGGAAGAGGAAGCTGAATATGTGGTTGTGGATACTGGAGCACTTCCGGAGCTTTGTATGCTACCAGAGCAACGAGGATCTTGTTATGATCACATTTTGAGATGGAGGTAAGGACCTCACCGAGAGGCAAAGATTACAAACGTTTATTGATTATGTTATAGATACGACTCGGAAAGATCACAATGCGTCTCGTTCATGTATTCTGGATGTAGTCCGAACGCGAATCACTTCACCAGCGAGGTTAGTCATCTTGTATCTTTTCGAGTCACAGGAGCCTTGGTGTCCAATTTGATTTTGTCTTTTTTGTCTTTTTGCCGGACATTTAGCTTTAGAACCGCCGGTTCACTTTTCCGACGATGTCGCTCTTCGGCCCTCGCAGCTTCCGTGTTTTCAGTATTCTCTTGAGCAACTGTCTCTTCGCTGAAATAGACAAATAGTGGGGTTTTACTTTAAGCCAATTTATCTCGATTTCTGTGAAAGATATCTAGACGTGGCCAACTGACAAAATGTTGCTGATATTATGATAAAAACTATGTCAGTCGGTCACTTTACAATAGATGAGCTCTTACAATAGATGAGATGAAGAGGCTCAAAGTGCAAGTATACAATGACCTCTTATTGGAGCAGATATGGTATACTTTGAGCTTAATTATCTCGATTCCTGTCAAAGATATCAAAAATAGGTCAACTGATAAAATGTTTTTAATATTTCAATAAATATTCTATCAGTGGAATACTTTTTGATATCTCTTACGGGACATGAGATATATGGGCTCAAAGTGCAAGAGTAGGGTGGAATATATATCAACAACTCACAATTTCTGAAGTCTGACATGATTGGTTAGGAGTCGATGACGTTCGGCGGTGTCTTCTCGATTCCGGAGATTTTTCTGAAAAATTTTCTCTCGTGGTAGCTCACTTAAACCGTCAACTTTGAGCTCAATTATCTCTATTCCTAAATATTGGTGATATTATGATAAACAATTTATCAGTTGACAAATTTTTGATATCTTTCACAGGAACCTAGATAAATAAGCTCGTGTAGGATGATTCTTACCGCGGTGATCGCATTTTTGTGCACACACCTTCCGACACACACAAAGAACGCCACCACTGAAAGTGCCACGACACAAATGCAAATGATTTGGATTCTTCTTCGGATCTAAATACAGTACTCTTTGTTTCCCAAAATTATCAATGGAGCACACTTACCCCTCTCTTAACCTTTGCTCTATGCTCTGCTGCTTTCTCGATATGCTTCTTTTTGCTTGGGTCTAGTTCACAATGCGGGAATGGTTCAAGTAGTGGTCCATGCTTTTTGCACTTTTCGCATCTTCTACCAGCAAATTTCTCCGGGCAGTCGCAAGATAGAGTTCGGTTTTTTAAATCTGTAAAATTACCGTAAAGACCTCTAATAGTAGTGCCCGAGACTGGCGATTTTGAGCTAAATTATCAGGGCTTCTAATCAAGATATCAAAAAGGTGTCAACTGATAAAACACTTCTAATATTATGATGAACAATTAATCAGTTTTTCATATCTTTGCCAGGAAGCGAGATAAACGCACCTGGCGTTCCATAAACGCAAATAATCTTATCACAATAGTCGCCTTCAAAACCAACATCACAAATGCATCTTCCATTTCTCAAGAATCCCTCCACACACTTGGAAGTGTACTGACATTCACTTCCGAAGTAGGAGCCAACGCATTCACATCTGTCCTTTTTCCATTCTCCTTTGTTTCCACACTGAAAACGGTTTTTTTAGCTGAAGCTCTCAAACTCGGGAAATTTCTGGTCGGAGATGGGTCAGATCCCGGTCAAGATCGCAGATAAAGCCTGCCTTTTTCTCTAACAGAAGCCCATGCAATTTGAGCTCAATTATCTCGATTATTGTGAGAGATATCAAAAATCTGTCAACTGATAAATTATTTATCTTTTTATCACCAACATTTTATTAATTGACAAATTTTTGATATCTCTCATAGGAACCGAGATAATTGAGCTCAAAGAGCACGTATATTGTGGGCTTATATTGGAGCGAAATGGTATTTTTTAAAGTTCCTTTTTTCGTCTTCCTAGAAGTACCCAAAGATCTCATATACCCTCTGAATTCAGATTAATTGACCAATTAACTGGAATACCATAGAACCATGACCTGACTCATACGATTCCGGTCAGGCCCATACTCCCGGGGTACATCAGAATGGGGTACATCGGGGGTACATCGTGCTCATGGGGTACAAAGTCTCAGAGGGTACATAGTCTCATGGGGTACATTTTGGGTATAATCTCATGGGGTACATTTTTCGCTTTCTCATGGGATACATCTCTGAAATACTCAGGGGGTACATCGCATTGTCTCAGAGGGTACATCGCATTGAATCTCATGTGGTAAACATCAAGTCGGATTCTACAGTTTCAGCGCTCATAGCTGCCTGATTTTTCCAACATTCGTTACATATTATGAGTGGTTTTTTTTGTTTTCCATGTAGTTATTCAAGAATGTAATTTCGCTTTTGATGTGGTTTGGAACAGAGATAACTGTCCAACATTATTTCTTCTCATTCATAATTCAGAAACATTTGGCTGATTGAAGAAAAATTGCCTATTGCAAGATATTCGGAGATTTCGGCAAATTCTCTTATACAACCATACTACCGAGTCTCTTTTACTACCACTGTCTCTTATACTACTTCTTACCACAGAGTCTCCCATACTACCAAAAGAAACAAGGCTTTCGGCCTAATCCTATAGTTGGCAAAAAATTTGGGGGGTACAAGGGGGTACAACTGATTTAGGGGTACAAAATTGGTGATTCGGGGGTACAAAATTAGTAGGTTCAAAAATTTGGGGGTGAAAACTACCAATGATTCTGGAGTACAACCCATTTCAAACAGGGGTACAACGCTTGTGATTCGGGGGTACAATTTTTTGAAGGAGTTTCTGAATTCCTGCATTCCAGAGCTTGAAAATCTCAGAATTCTTAGAATTTCAGAACTTTGGAATTTCAGTATTTCGGAATCTGAGAATTTCGGAACTTCAGAAACTGAAAATCTGAGAACTTCCGAATTTCAGAATCTCAGAATTTCAGAACTTCAAAATTTCAGAATTTCAGGGCCTCAAAACCTCAGAATTTCAGAACTTCAGAATCTCAATATTTCTGAATTTTCAAAAACTACGGCAGAACATTTTCACTTCTCATTGTCTTTTGATTGTTCTTTTTGATTTTGTGTCATATATTTCACTCTTTATGAAAAAAATTGTGGAAATTGTTGGGCATTTGCTGAAAGGCATTAGTTGCTTTGAATTTTTGAGTCTCGAAATTTCTAGAACGTACACAATAGAGAACTGTAAAATAATCTTCACAAATTTCACAAACTCAGGATTTTAATGTTTAATTTAGGTTTTAAACCCCAGTCCATACTTCCCTCACTACCAATTTTTCTTAATTGTTTTTTTCTCAATTCTATTTCATTTCCTTTTGCTTTCAATATTCCTTCGTTTTTGCCCAATTTTTTTAGCCAAATTTTCCGTTTTTTCCCAATTTTTCTCAATTTTTCCCAAATTTTCAATTTTTCTCAAGTTTTCCCAATTTTTCAATTTTCCTCAAGTTTCGTGGTAATTGAAATGTTCTCATTTTTTCATAATTTTCTAAATTATTGAATGAAGGAAACAATCACAATTCAGTGATTTTCCCACAAAAATTCAAAAATCCCAAAAATTGGCCCAAAATGAGCTATTTTCTTTCGAAAATTGTTCGAACTGGGCAATAAAACACTACAAAAATTATTAAATTAATTTTTTTCGATTAATTACCACGAAAATTTGAGCAAAAACTATGAAAAACGAAGGAAAACGGAGAAAAATCCCAAAATAAAATTTCCCAGTGATGACGTCATCAGTCCATGGCCGTGGCCGAGCTGCGGGGTTTTCTCTTCCATGGGAAATTTCGCAAAATTCACAGCTTTTCGCAAATCCCATTTTTCTCTATTTTCCTTCATTTTTCATAGTTTTGCTCAA